CTGGATCCGAACACCACGCTCCAACATGAAAGAAGGAAACAGGGCAGACGAGAGAGCGCACGGCTCGAGCACACTCGAAGCCATGAAAACAAGACATGACAGGACGTCAGGGCTCTGTCACAAATCACAAGTAAACTAGACTGAAGTGACAGAACCCTGACAGCGTTAAATTGTGTTGAGGGCTGTTAGAATTGCTGAGCACACATCTCAACCTCTGACAGAAATCTTTTGGGAACAAATCTTATTTTTTTATCTTTATTTCATTAAAGGAACAGTTCACCCCAAAATTTAAATTTGCTGAACTTTTTTTTTTCAGCCCCGGGCCATCTAAGATGTTGATGAGCTTGTTTGTACCTCAGAACAGATTTGGAGGAATTTAGCCTCACATCATTTGCTCAGCAACACATCCTCTGCAGTGAATGAATGGGTGCCGTCAGAATGAGAGTCCAAACAGCTGATAAAAACATCACAATAATCCACAAGCAATCCACACCACTCCAGTCCATCAGTTAACATCTTGTGAAGTGAAAAGCTGCGTGTTTGTAAGAAACAAATCCATCATTAAGGTATTTTAACTTTAAACGGTTGCTTCTCTCGCTTCCTACAGTGAAACGCTCTCCATGCTCTCTTGTCCTCTAACATCTAAATCCATTATATTGGTTCAAAACTGTTTTGGACCGTTTTCGCTTGTAAATGGTGTTTGATCTGAGCATATTTCTCTCCTGACTCAGACTAGATTACTTTTTCACTGGAGAAAGCAGTATCATTCTTGAGACGTGGGACAAAACAGGTCCAGCAAGGGTAACTGCCATTAGGTTTAAAAATAAAAATCTTTTAAATTTTAAATGTCATGAGGGATTAATAATAGAATGTATTTAACACAATTATCACCTTCAATTCAATTTTCTCATTATTATACCAAATCTGTGTTTCTTAATGTCCTCTCGCTACATCTAAAACAGTGTGTCCACAGAGAAGGGTTCAATCATTCATATGTAATAAAATGGATTAAAAAAAAAATTAATGATGAAAAATAGCTTGTTTTATCAAAAGCAACACTTAATAATATCTCCTATCAAAGCAAGGTTGTTTTTTTAATGACACATGCATGTTTCATAAGATTTTAAAGTTGCGTCCCCACTTTTTGTCAACACCGTCAGACATTCAACAAAATGTAATAATATCAGGGGCAGCTGTCACTCTAAAGGACCCCCTTGCCACAGTTCACCTCTGCAGAGTACATCACTGTCAGACAGGCTCTGCTAAGTCCTAATGTTAATATTTCCTGTGTCACAGCCATGATATGTCAACACCATCTTCCAAATTCTGAGGAAATTATTTGAAATATTTAGATAATT